CAACAAGATGAGCCTCATCCAACTCGCGCTGAAGAGCCTCCAATTGTTGCACGTGCTCATCTCGAGAAACAAAGTCACTCTTCAACGTCTGCCGAAGTGTCTCCAGATCAGAAATTGGAACAAAATTCGCCAACTGGGCTGCAAGCTGAACGACTCTTTCCTAAAACAAGAGAATGGCAGGAAATGGACAAAAATAAGCACTCAAATTTAAGTTCTCTGCACAAATATTAATGAGGAACAAAAAGTAATCAAATTTGAGCAATCTATAATCTGCACCTAGGCTGGTACCAAAACGCATCACAGCCTGTATCACAATCTGTCGTGAAAAGTCTTAAATATGGATTCGACTGTAAAGTAAAAGTTGCCATGCCATAGAAAACTTGATTTTTTTTAAAGGTATTTGACAAATTTCTAATCATTCCTACCTGTATTTTATATATAAGTAAGCTTTGCATTTATCTATTTATTAGCCGTTCATTTTACTAGCGCCATATACTTACATGGCTTAAGTAGGTAAGAATATTAATCTACTAATCAAAAGCCCTCTGAGAGAAAATTAAGAAAATCATTTGAGAATGTATGAAGACCAAGGTAGTGTAATCACTATTTCGGTAGCCGTTTCCTTACCTCACATAGGATTTGCATTATCTCATTTTTACAACTTGCGCGTACTGTCAAGGGGACTTCGAAGAAAGTGGCTTGTCTGACGTACTCTGGCCATACTAAACATGTAATTGCAAAAGCCGAATCGCTGAATTGGTATATTCACAGAAGTTTAGCTAGCATCGTTGGCGATGCAAAAAGATCCCTGACAAGACATTCTTGGAGGTCGAAAACTTAACCTTTTATAGAGTAAAAAACACACCATTGTGCCTCCTGAGTGAACAATCTTAAACCGACAAATAGAACATACCACAGCATTTATTAGAACCACATCGAGATAGAAATAACTAAGTGAGAATATTCGTAAAATTAGTTAAGCAACGAAGTAGAGACATTTACTACAGTCTGCGCTATAGGTAACGACTTACAGTACGTGCCTTGAGTTCCCAATTTAAATCAAAACAAAGAATTATTTAATAATACATCAGAAAGGTCGGATTTAACTAGCCTACTTTTTCCTGACACAAGTGTTCATTGGCTTGATCGGCAGCCCGATGCAGCTCTTCTGAAACAAGATGAGCCTCATCCAACTCACGCTGAAAAGACTCCAATTTTTGCTCATACTCATCTCGGGAAACAAAGTCTTTCTTCAACGTCTGCCGAAGTGCCTCCAGCTCAGAAATTGGAACAGAATTCTCCAACTGAGCTGCAAGTTGGTCGTTTCTTTCCTGAAACCCGAGAATCACAGGTAATAGACAAAAATGAGCACTCAAATTTAAGGACTTTCTACAAACATCAATGAGCAACAAAATTCATTCAGATATGAGCAATCTATAATCTCCATCTATGCTGGTACCAAAAAGGTTCACAGCCTGCAGCCCAATATGTCGCAAAAGGTCCTAAATATGGAATTGACGCGAAACTAAAAGTTGCCATGTTACCAAATACCTCACAACCTTCAATCCTTATCCAATTTTCTACAGTTTCTGAACTATTCTGATGTAGATAATGAATTTTAGTAAACGTCATTATTATGTAAGTGGGTTGATCTAGTTGTCGCAACATGCTGAGATAACAGTTGTTTAATCAAGGAGACTACCAGTGTAGAGAAGGCCTAAAGCGATCTGAATTGCATGCGTTAAGGTGATTTTAAAAGAAAATGGAGTCCACAGTCCAATATTCTTGAATTAAATGCTTGTTAAAGAAGAGACAATCAAAAGGGGAAAAAAAGCAATACAACGCCTCTGGGAAATTAGTCTAGGAAATAGGCTACATGTTACCTAAGTCGTAAAGTCGTCGTCGTACCTTAGCTTTATTTTCTGGAAAGTTACGTCTAGAAGTTACTTAAACTCTGGCATTTAATATATTATCTCGTTCCTTTCACTGTCTTTTTGTATAAATAACTAAAAGGATGGACATGTCAGCTAACTCATTGTCACGATTAATAGTAAATTGTGTAAAATCGTCGTTTCAGTAGTTTTAGCCTTTGATTGTTTTACTATTTTGGTCTGACTGGTTAATCAGCATCAGCATTCACTTTTCAGATCTGCCTGTATTGATCGTCTCGGGCATACTTCGTTTTCCGAGCTCCCCCAATACCACCAGGATCTAGTTTCGGTGGAATTAGTTGACTTTAAATCACAGCTGATAGAATTGTTTCAACAGAAGAAAACTTTGACTCAGGAAATCGACAAACCTTGCAACGAGCGAAGTTATTTGACGAAGTCACAGAGTTAAAGGTTCGTCATCCTTATTTTATTAAAGTGTCAAATTCAATATTTAGATGACTTTTTCGGCGAAACGATTAGGAATGCACCATTTCCACGGTCCGACTATGCATACTATGGAGTGCGGACTAGGTACGCTCCTCTAGGTCTTCCTACCAATATGACTAAGTTGCGAAAACAAGGTCAAAAAACGTATGATTTTGATCGTTCAGACATTTTTTAAAATTACAGTTATAGAGTCCCTAGTAAAGAAACCTCAATAATGAAATATACTTTTATAATTTACATTCTTATGCGAAATATTAACTGAGGTTTCGTAAGAAAAGCTTGTGTGATTTCCGGATTAGTTAAAGAGATTCCAAGCTTAGTTGCTTAGCAATGTTACAAAACCTGTCTTAATCATTGACATATCTCGATTACTCCAGATAATTTGATGTTAATTATTTTAAAAGCTTTACCAATTCCTGGTCTGATAAATCTCCTTATTGGCGTCTATTCATATCTGTTCAAAATGTATACAGTAAAGTTTTTTATATTATAAACTGCTCTATGGCTCTCATGTCTCAATATAAATCAACAAAGTTTATCTTCCTGTCCTTACATTTACATTCATAATAGGAAATCATAATAATGACTATATGAAGACCAAGATGCTGTGGCCTCTGTTATGGTCGCAGTCTCTTCTAGAAGTGGGTTGACTTCGTCACAACGTGGTCTTGTTGTCAGGGGCACAATCTAGAATGCGAAATCGTCTGCTACACTAGTTGTCATGATTCCCATCATCTGACAGTGGACTTGATATCTTCTAAAACGTTTCGCCACCATCGTAGTCGTCATCATCAGTGAGCTTTGCCATTCTCCGCATCAAGCTACGAACTCGTCAGAGACAAGTGAAGTCAATCCCTCGACAACCGTTCTGCCAAAAACGGTTAAATTATCACTCGTCTTTCTGTCATTGTCTATCTATCTACTCTCTACATTCTTATCCCACTGCCACCCTATCACAATTTCTCACTTGTTTACATTTAAATCGTCAAAATGTGTGCCTTTTTGTGGCACGTATTTGGTTTGAAGTAACTCAACCTGGATCTGTCGATCAATCTTTTCAGACGAGTGCACCGACTTTCGCCAGATGGGGACAGTTGAAAAGCGAGCAAGGCTGGTCACCAAACCGTCATTATCGTCTGTTTTCATCGTGACAAGTGGAACAGCTGGGCGGAAGAGAGATGATGGCGACACAAAGCTTGAGAGGCCGTCGGGCATACTGAGTGCAGGTCGGAGACTAGACATGAAAAAACGGCCTCCGAACTGAATGCTGCGTTCAGTCTCACGCAGTTCGGAAGTTGGCCGACAGCAGGTGCCACCGCCGAGCAACACCCCAGCGGGTCGTTGGCGGATAAGGGGAGTTACCTCTGTCTCCTTGGCTTCCAAATGTCCCGATTTAGGATCAGTTACCACAGAAGCCATCTGGTCCACTGGAGATATGAGTAAACCAGCTTCGCTTCCAGCTATATAAGTAGCCGGCGCGTCGGGTATCTGTGGCTGAGATTTGGTGAGGAATGCTTTTGGCTCATTTGCGGAAGTGAGGTCGAGCGATTTGCAGGCAATATGAGACAGAGGTGAGCCATTGCTATTTTGCATTAGCTCGGTGCTAGTCACGGCACACTCTTCTATTGCAAAACGTAGCTTCTCTACCTATAATGAAAAAAATTTGTTTAAAAATGACTATGAAATCAGCGCAATGAAAGCATGAGTAAACTTAGATTCTAGCCCGAGTCCGAGAATAGAAATGAAAAAAATTGGGAAAGAATAACCGGAGGAAATTCGATTCTTATGTATCAAGTAACTACAAGATATATGATTAAAATGACGCTTTTATTTGAAAGTAATAAACATCTTGATATTACCATATTTAAATATAAATAGTGCTATTATGAGCAAATAAGAATAGCTGAAGTTAAAAGTACTCAGCTAACCAACCAGTGCCAACTTAGAGGAAAAAAAATCAAAAATTACAGGCTATGGGATATATTCACCTTACTTCGATTAAAGTGATGAATTGGCAGTTGAATTTTTCACAACAATGTGATGAGACCTTACGCTTCTATTAAATAACACCTAACCTTGCCCTCCCCAAAGATGGCAATGTGACGTAGTGGCTAACGAGTCGAGATTACACGCCGAAATGTCATAGATTGAGTCCCACTGTGTGTTGATAAGGCCTAGGTGAGATCGAAACTGCAGTCCACCCTGGATAAGAAAGGGAAAGCAAGGCCATGTGAAATTCAATGGAAGCGTCAGCTCTACTCATATAAGTGTGGGAAAATTCAGCCATAAGTCCGTCATCACCCTAAACAAAACAGAATGAATACATCTCATATAATTGATTTACTGATGTCTCGAATCCTACTCATAAACGAAAAATAAGTTACATGCAATTTAAATTAATAAACCTACAGCACGCTGGAGGCGATTGAAAAGAGTCTTGCGCTTGATCTCCATAATCGTTATCTCGCCTGCGCCTTCAGCCATTGAAAGACATGAAGCATCACTGTCAAGTGTCTGATCAGCTCTAAAGTTTGACCTTTCAGGTTCATCCTTCTCTTCTGGCTGTAAGACTATCGGCAAAGATTGCTCGACTTGACCTCTTTCGACCGATCCGTCCCCCGAAAGATGTTCAGAGCCGATAAAATTGATAAGTCGACGTTGATGGACTGCCTGGCGACGCTGATGCCATGAGGCGACATGCGGCGATTGAGCTTGACCATCAGGATGCCGTGATACATTTACCCTTGCAAACTGAACTGATTTTGTAAGACGTGGCGACCCAGTATCCTGAATTGGGTGAAGATTAATCTCGGGCCCTCCAAACCTATTGGTGCCTCTTGGTCCTACTGGTGATCCAGGAATACCCATCATCACTTCAGCTAAAGTCGAGTTCATATAAGAAATAGCTCCATTATCTGCCTCCTCTGACTCAATCACAGCTTCAGGGGCATCCTGACTAACTGACTTTCTATCAATTTCTTGACCAGTCCGATCTATAGAGGATAAAGTGAATTGGCTGCCGTTAATTTGGTTAGGGGCTCGTGCCGACCCACTGATATTTTCTAGCAAGGTATCTACGCCTCCGTAGGTAGCATTCGCACGAGATAAACTAGACTGCTGAAGTGACGAATCGCGAATTGGCTCCATGGACGGGAGTCCTGATTCTACCTCCAAATGCTGAGGAGTGGGGGAATTAATTCCACTGACACACGGAGAAAGAATTTTTTGATTCACAGCGGAAGTGAAAGAGCTCTATAATGGGAATGAGAAAATAAAGATTAAGACAGCTCAAAAAAAGAAAAGATCTGAAACGTGAAACAATCACAAGTCTATTGAAAAAATACATAAAATAGATTTTCACAAAATTCGTACAACGAATATTGAGGAAATATTAACACAAAATCAACCTAGATGCAGATGATAATGAAGTGAAAGATGAAATTTTTAATTTCCCAAACTTACCTAAAGGTACGGCACAACACTATGTAGAGATAAGAGATGATGCTGGCCTTAGGTTTGGTCGTAATCTCCTTTAACTGTAGAGCCTGCCTGACCTCGTTTTATTCGCTTGGTGAGTAAAACAAAGGCCCTTAAAAACATATATAATCCTGCGTTCTCCTCAGTAGTATTCACGACAACTTACGGCGTTAGACCGCTTGCTTGGTGGATTCTGAAACGTTTCACCGGCATCGTCAATGAAATACGTCATCCTTAGCACAAAATTACGATTTATCAGTGACAAGTAAAGATAATTTCTTTGACTAATTCTTTCTTCAAACGTTGTGGCAACCACTCCTCGTCCTAGCTTCTAATACTGCATAGCTATTCCGTAAGCCATTTACGTCTTCGTTTGTGCTGTCACAAACCAATGTGCGCAAATTTAGGTGGAGTTAGTGAAGCCTAATTATTAGCACAGCCGATTTTACATGCCGTTCGCATGGTTTCTGGGACCCAACCAGCGCTCCCATTTAGACATAACATTTGCCAAACTTGTTAGTTGATCTTTTCCGCACACGACAATCATTAAATAACTATCTATAATCCCTCGATTCCGGTTACTGTTTATATCATTCGAGGGTTTACTTGCATTATTAACCCGGAAATATGATAGGACCGTTCCTAAAACGGTAATTCTTACGTCTAAGGTAGGCTAGGCTTCAGAAAGCCTACGTCCCAGTTTTACTCTTCCTTTCTTCAATCCCATTCCCATCAACTTACTGGGACCCTGTCAGCTTGCCATCGCCCTAGTGGAGATGGACTGTTTCAATTGTCTACTTTTGAACAAGGTAAGGCACAACCCTATTGTTTATCATGTTAATTAGTTAATAAAGTTTCCTAGGCATGTAATCAGCCACTTCCTACTATACATATAGAAGTGGATCTGAAATATAATTAGATTTTGAACTTAGCACGACTAATTGAGTCGACGGTTATGATCCTATGTTTATGTAACCCCAGGTAGCTTTTTTGCAACTTATCATAGATTTGGCTCCTCTTAACCTTGATCTGTCCTACTTTCCGTCATCGATTATATGTTCTTGGTTCAACCGTCTACTTTAAGTTGTCCCTGCTGAATGTATCAAAGTCTACCCAAACAGTAATATAAATTCTCGCTGACTCTCCCGCCGTCCATCGTTACATTAAAAAAAAGCCAATGGATGGGGAAAGCAGGAAAAAGAGAGGTCCGTGGATAAAACGCTTGCAAGGAGAGCTAACAAACAGGCGATTGGCCGAGATGAGTTAATGAGACTTTCGCTTACTGTTTGGGCACTGATAGATTCGGGATAGATATGATCTGCCCAAAATGCACAAATAGGTCACTCTAAGGAATACTGCTAATAAGGGCGCGTGACGCCCAAAACATCGCGAGTTATTCATCATAAAAATTTTCACCAAAATCCCAATGCTGAATATGAAATAATGCACAAAAACCATCCTATAGATATTAATGGATCATGAGAAAATTTAAAGAAAAAGCACAAATAGGACATACCTCTACAACTTGCACCTTTCGCAATTCGCTTGCTAGACTTTTGACAATTGCATGGATATTACGC